TCGTGACGGGTGATGTTGACACTGTGGGGCTGTCCGTTGGCCATGTTCCTGTGATCCACATCAATGTTGTATGGCTCGCGGGTGCCACCCAGGTTGTACCGAATCTGTAAGTTTCCTACATAAGAAAAAGGAAAGAAACCCTGTCATTTCTTTGCTCTAGGTTTCGTTTTAACGTCACTTCCCCTACCCTGCTGCATAGGTTTCTAGTAAACTCTGTTTTCTCCCTTGACGTCCATTGACACCGTTCCTGTTTTGAATTCAGATTCAGTAGCTCAGAGACCTACTAATCCATATAGGTTGGCAGCACCAGGCTCACATGTATTTATAATCTGCCAACAATGACCTTGGTGCCCAGGTCACCAAGGCAGCAAAAATGGCAGCAAATGGCATAAACAATCCAAGCTGGGATTGGATATGGGAATGAAGAATGAGAACATATACAACAGAGGACCGTGGAGACGCCTGCAGGACCCACGAAATACAGAAGACATGAAAGACAAGGGAGTGCAGTGTGCAGGGACGGTCTTGCTCCACCAGCGGAGGGTGGCATTGGGCATATAAAGGAATCGTGAGCATACAATGTTAAAAATAAACATAATTTTAAATGATAAATATGTGCAATGTGAGGTGGCCTCACTGAGACCAAGAAAACCAAGTACTAAATTGTATTTTAGGTTAAGACTAGCCAAATGCAATTAAAGGGAAATTAAAGGGAAAGATGGCTTCCCAGGTGCCCCAGGCTACTTCTGCCCCTTAATGACAGTGTACTTTTGCTTCAACGATTAGTCTTGTTTTCCTCTTGGCTTCTTCCCAATAAAGACAATATTAAAAAAGACTATTGGGACACTCTAGATCCTGCTTTTAGTTAATCTATACAGCGAGCATAACTTTTATTTCTTATTATGATTTTTAAAGATAATCAATTTTTTATCTTTTCTTTTTTTTTTACTCAAGTTGAAATTTTCCTGTTGTGAATAGCCTTTGACATCCTAGAGCTTAAAACCAGAGCCAGAGTCTAGCAAGAGTCTAACCCACTGCAAATCACCTAATGGATTCTTTGTGGCCTCTTTCGGTTTCTTTCTAGAGGAACAAAACTGATATTCCAATTTTTAAGTTATAAAATACAATGCGGTAATTAAAACTTAGAAAGAAAAAAAAGAAAGTCACATGAAATTCCACCATCCAAAGATAACTAAACATCTTGGCCTTCTCCTTCCAGGCATTTCTCAGACATTCACACACACACACACACACACACACACACGCACACGCACACACACACACGCATGTGCTGCTCTTCATGTTGGCATTCGAGCATCACACTTGCCATTTATAATACAGCACCACGTTCCTGGAGTTGAGAGACACATTCGTTAGAATAATCATGAGCTAATTGCATTTTCTTATTTTTGTTTTCTGAACAAAATTCAACAAACCCTCACTATTTCTGGGTTTTACTTTAGCATTTTATCCTGGATTCCTCTGCCTATAGCGTTTCCACCAAGCGCTGTTGGTTTTCGTCACCTGCATTTGTCTAGATCCCCTCCCTGCACTCTTCTCCATCCGGGTGACCACGGAGCCTCCGCTGCCACCTGCGGGTCCCGGCGTGACTCCCACCGGAGTGCAGCTCCACGCAGAGCTCCCGGTGCATCCTCCGCCCGAGCTTCACCATCCTCCCTCGCCTGGGTCACCTACCAGCCTGCTCTTTTAAAATCACCACCCTTAACCTCATTTCACTCCCAAGTGAGTCCTCTCTCGCTCTGCTCTTCCTTCCTGCAAGTCCCATAAAAGGAGATGTGCACACTTGCTGCCTCCAGACCCGTCCCTTTGCAGCGAGCCCTCGGCCCCACTCCCCCCGTTGCTTCCCATGACGTCACTACCCCAATACTTATTGAATAAATGATTGAATGGTTTCCCTGCTTCTTTGCTTTCTTCTTCCCAATGTTTTCTTTTCTTTTCCTTTTTTTTTTGAGACAGAGTCTCACTGTGT